AGGAGAGAGAGAGAAGAAACATTTATTATACATGTAGTAGATGATAATCAGATTTATGTTATTTCAAATACTTACAATGTCAACTCAGAAGCACCCGCTTGGATTTATAGCGGCTCGACTTGTCGAATACAATCCTCAGATTTACTGATGGCTTGCATGAAGTTATTGCATTCGGGATGAGAAGAGACTTCGGAGTCCCTTTGAGCATTACAAATATTGAAATTGCTTTTCATGAAATAAAGCAGAAATTCGTTCCCACAGCTTGTCCTTCTTTTGATTAGAACCCATGACTGGATCTTGAGATATTTCGAGCCACGTGGCGCATAAAATTTGGTCTTCTTCTTGTAAAAAAGATTTTCCACGACTAGATGCCATAATCTAAGGAGGAATGTAAAGAGTTATGAATATAGAATAAGAAGAGTTGTGGTGGAGATATGAAAATTGTGCAAGTATTATATAGGAATCAGATATAGAGAGTCTCCAACACCAGGAGAATCCAATGTGGGAAGTCTCCAACACAAAAGGAATCTAATGCGGGGGTGAGAAGCCAATGCTGAAAAGAATCCAATGTGGGGAGTCTCCAACACGAAAGGAATCCAATGTGGGGGGTCTCCAACACTAGGAATCCAATGTGGGAAAAGCCAATGCTGAAAAGAATCCAATGCGGGGAGTCTCCAACACGAAAGGAATCAAATGTGGGTTGTCTCCAACACCAGGAATCCAATGTAGGGAGTCTCCAACAAGAAAGGAATCCAATGCGGGGAGTCTCCAACACCAGGAGAATAGAATGTGGGGAGTTTCCAACACAAAAGGAATCCAATGTGGGGGTGAGAAGCCAATGCTGAAAAGAATCCAATGTGGAGAGTCTCCAACACGAAAAAAATCAAATGTGGGTTGTCTCCAACACCAGGAATCCAATGTAGGGAGTCTCCAATAAGAAAGGAATCCAATGCGGGGAGTCTCCAACACCAAGAGAATCCAATGTGGGGAGTCTCCAACACAAAAGGAATCCAATATGGGGGTGAGAAGCCAATGCTGAAAAGAATCCAATGTGGGGAGTCTCCAACACGAAAGGAATCCAATGTGGGGGGATGAGAAGCCAATGCTGAAAAGAATCCAATGCGGGGAGTCATATTATATAATGACATTACATCCATCTCTAAATAACTCACAACTTATATGATTATTTCTTTAAAAAACTTCTTCATCAATGAACTATGAAGCCGGACCGTCACATCTACCTTCTTCTTCTTCTTCTGACGACGACGAAATATTTTCTTAGTACATTAAAGATTAGGAGGAAGATATGATACAATGGGAGAAGGAAGATGAACTCTTAGTTCGCGTACATGCCTCTAATAATAAAATAATGACTTATCTCTCTCAAGAGGCAGAGCGGCCAAAGCGTATTGGCTCAGTTCCTGGTCATTTGGTGATCAATCGCGGGAGGGAAGAAGGTAATTCTCGACTTTACCATGACTATTTTTCTGATAACCCTACATATGGTTCAAAACTATTCCGTAGAAGGTTCCGGATGCACAGGAGTTTATTTCTTCGTATAGTCGAGGCGGTACGTGAGCATGACAACTTCTTCGTACAAAAGATGGATGGTGTCGGCAAACTTGGGCTATCAACTTTACAAAAAGTTACATCGGCATTTCGCATGTGGCGTATGGAACATCAGCAGATAGTACTGATGAATATGTTAGGATCGGTGAGTTAACTGCAATTGTATGTTTAAAGAGATTTTGCAGAGCAATTGTAGAAGTATATGGAGATGAATATCTGAGGACCCCCAATGTCGACGATGTTGCAAGGTTATTGCAAAAGGGCAAAGAAAGAGGTTTTCCAGGAATGTTAGGAAGTCTAGACTGTATGCATTGGCAATGGAAAAATTGTCCAACAGCATGGGCAGGACAATACTCAGGTCGTCATGGAGGTCCAACCATTATTCTTGAGGCAGTAGCATCATATGATCTATGGATATGGCATGCATACTTTGGCTTACCAGGATCCAATAACGATATTAATGTATTGCAGTCGTCTAATTTGTTCGACAATCTATCACAAGGTATTGCTCCTCCTGCTCATTACACAATTCAAGGAAAAAATTATGATGTCGGTTATTATTTGGCCGATGGCATATATCCGAAATGGCCAACACTTGTTCAAACCATTTCTAATTCCGATGATAAAAAGAAACAATATTTTGCAATGATGCAAGAAGCATGTCGAAAAGATGTTGAGCGGGCATTCGGTGTTCTCCAATCACGATTTGCTATCATCAAGGGGCCAGCCCGTTTTTGGGATAAATGAACTCTGCATGATATCATGACTGCTTGTATTATAATGCACAATATGATTGTCGAAGATGAACGCGACGAGCAAGAAGATATTATCATTTCAACTCCACAAACAATTCCAAATGCTGAAAATATGGAAATAACAGAAACTGAACGATTCCAACGGTTTCTTGCTCGACATAAGAGGTTGAAAAACAAAGAAGCTCATTTTGCACTTCGAAATGCATTGATTGAACATTTGTGGGAAAGACATAGAAATGAAGCGATGTAACTTTTTTTACTAATGAAATAATGACTTTTTCATTTTTAATTACTTGGTTCTTGAAATTTTATATTTCAATTAATATTATTCAATATTAGTCTCATTTTGAAGGTATCGACAAAACATTTCCAACTGTAAAACTTTTATTTAAAAATAATTAGTAGAAATAAACTTATGTTGATTTTAAGTTGAATATCTAAAAATAATTAGTTAGTTAGAAGGGTATTATTGTTATTTTGTAGGGGGAATAGTGAAATGGAGGGGGGCTGCATATTTGGAGCAAAAACTCCAAATATGCAGCCGGGTTCAAGATTTTGCAGCCGGACTCCAAAAATTGGAGTCCGGTTGGAGCTCAACCGGGTTGCATTTTGGAGAAATGCAGCCCGGTTGGAGCTGCTCTAAGCGACGAAGCAGTGTTAGCCCCCGAAAGCCCAACGGCAAGAGCAAAGGGCACGGTTAGCCCATCGAAGATGCCGATGATGGAGTCCCAAGCACGACGTCTCCCAGCTAAGTGGCTTCTCCATGTGGTGCTGCAAGAGTTTCTCTGTGTGATTTGAGCGCGGGTGGGTAGTCGTTGTTGATGATGAAGGGGCGATCGTCACAGATGAGGAGGGGGGACGATCATGGTGGGGTTGAAGGGTCAGCGAGAGGGAGGAGATCGAGGGCGTTAGAGACAGAGGCCACGGTGTTGGTGTAGTTTGACGAGTACAGGAGCTGAAGGACCGCCACGTGAGAGTCGAAGCGATGAAGATGATCAGAGGCCAAGATCTTGTGAGTGAGGTGACGTAACGACACCCCGGCAGACGGAACGGCTACGATAGGATCGAGAGCTGCCAGCGTCGGAGAGGAGGGCGAAGAAAGGTAGCAAGGGCAGGACCGGAGGGAGAGGAGTGGAGGAGGAGAAAAAGGATGCAGCCGGAAATGTTTTTTTGGATTAGGGCGTCTGCTGGAGAGAACGGAGAGAACAAAGATTGGGGTTAGGGATTTTAGAGGGGGCGGGATTTTAGAATTTGGGGGAAATTTTTGGGGGGAAGCGGGTTAACGAAGAGAACGGAGGAAGAGTAATGTTTTATTTAGGGATATATTTAGAGCACCAAATTTTAGACTATGTATTGAATATGTGATTTATTATGTAGCTATAATTAAATATTTAATAGATTAATAAAATTTAAATTTCTTATTTCTTATTTTTTTGCAATTTAAAAATAATTTTTTAACTCATAAAAAGGATTAAAAAGTAAAAACAAATTAGAAGATAGTGGTTAAGAAATATTTACTTTTTGTTCGGGGAAAATGAAATAAACTAATAAAAAGTCATAAAGATATATAAAAAAACACTAACAAATCTTTAATATTTCAAAATTAGTCACTCAAATCATGAAAATTTCTATTACATCCCTCCAATCATCACAATGTCTACAATTAGGTCCTTTGGTTAACACCGATTAGATTTAAAGAAATATTCCTTTAAATCTGACTATTATTACTAGTTTTCCATAACTTTTAATTATAAAAATCTAATCCGTTTGGACCTAATTGACCCGTTAAAATATAAAAAAAATCAAATCCATTAAAAACTTCTTTTTCGTATCCAACAGATATCATCTTCGCTCTATCTTAATTTTGACGGCTCTTTCTCCTCTTAACCTTATAAAAACTTCAATCGAACTTTATCCAAACTATTTTCATCTATTTCTTTAGTGATTAAATCTCATTTAGCTCCTCTCAAATTCATTAATGATGTTTGCTAGCTCAAGTTCATTCATAAATGAAGCCAAGAGTAGTGGAGGTCATCAAATCTACTAGCATAAAGAATAAACGAAAATAAATTTTAAAATGATAAAAAAGGTTACATGTTCGTAACATGTATAACTAAAAATGATATCCTCCTTGGTATCTCACCATTTTCTCATCATTTTCACTTTTCGTATCATTTTCTATAAACTAATCAAAGTCGAAGCCAAAAACTCACGAATAGTTATCGAATATCAAAGTATATTTATTCTGCTAAAGAATTTAATTTTCAAGTATTGTTAAAATTCATAAATAAAAATTATTCCTTTATATTATATATATGATGTGTATATATTTAAATCAAAATTTAATTAGAAAATAAATTTAAGATTATTTGAGTCTAAAAATTGGTATATAAAACTTAAGTATAAATGATTATTTGATTAAGATTATTTAATATCTAAGATTATTTGATTTTTGTTTCTCATCATTTTCTCTAAACTAATCAGAGATGAAGCAAAAAACTCACAAATAAGACAATCATGTATGCAATAATACAAATAATAGCATATGATCAATTTTAAAAGAATATTTAATAAACAAACGAATCGAATATGCATTTGGTCAAATTCAATCATTATCGAACTTGAATGTGTTAAATGAACTACCGAATCGAATATGACTGAATAGTTATTTGAACAATTATCGAACTATTTGTTAATTATTTGGTTTATTTACATACCTAGATGTAGCAATTTACATAATTGGGTGGACTACTTTTAAAATATTATAGATTTGAGGGACTAATATAAAATTAATTTTTTTTTGTGCGGGCCACTCCTTAACAATGAGATAATCAATCACTAATGTTAATTTTTTACGATGAGCACATTAGTATTGGCAACGAAATGCATCCGTCGCCAATGAGTATTGGCGACGGATTCGATCCATTACCAATGAGTATTGGCGACGGATCGAATTTGTCGTTAATGAGTATTGGCGACGGATGCGTTCCGTCGCCAATGAGTATTGGCGATGGAAAAACATTGATGACGGGGTTGTTCCCGTCGTTAATATTTGTATTGACGACGGATTCGAAATCCGTCATCAATACCCCGTCGCCGATGCCTAGTTTTTTCACTAGTGCAGTTTGTTTTTGTTTCAGGCAACGATGCCCAATTACTGATTGCTATTCTGGTTTGATCACATTTATATTTGGGCCAAATTCAATGAAGGGCCGAGTCAAATATGGCCTTCACATCGCTAGCCTACAATAGAGCGTGACCTTTAAGTTAAGGGTATCCCATGAGCTGAGCCTGACATTTTGGGTACAAAATTTTAAGACTGTAAAGGCTGCGTTTGGATGTTTCACTCATGTATATTTCTAAATATTTTTTTTCTTTAATTAGAGAACTGCACTGCCTTCACGTTTTGGAAGGAAATAATCCCTATATTTTATGCATATTTTGTTGGATTTGGGTGTATCCCAAACCTATCTGTAGGCGACGAGCTCGAGTTGAGCTCTGTCAGGCAAGCTCGAGGCTTGAGTAAGACGAGCTCGAGCATGGCGCAGGCGAGGGCGAGATCCGAAGGCGAGCTTGGGACTCTGCAGGCGAGCAGCGGGCGAGATCCAAGCGAGCTCGAGCGCTCGTGCTTCAGGCGAGGTCGAGCGTGGGCATGATTCAGGCGAGGTTGAGGCGCAGGTGAGCTCGAGCGCTCACAGACAAGCTCGCAGATCTCTCAACAGTGAATTTGAGGGGAGATTTTAAGAGAAATTAAAGAGAGAATTGAAAGGGGATTTAAAGAAGAGGGTTATTAATATAGCTACAGTAACAAACTTTTATTTGTTAAGGGATCTCAAGTTTGAGAGTTGCTCTTGTATTATAATTTCTTGTTGATTAATAAAAAATTAATTGTGTGGCTCCCAAGAACGTAGACAAGTTTGTCGAACATTATAAATCTAGGTGTACTTTTTTCTATACTGCGGGTTTCACTATTAAAGGGGTTTAGCGTAGCCCATGTATTCCCCAACAGCTGGTATCAGAGCCTGAAACGATTTAGAGGAAGTTAGATTCAAGTGGGAGGGATGGTCACAGATGAAGGAAAGGTGAGATTAGAGAAGTTTGATGAAACAAATTTTGGATTCTGGAAAATAAATATAGAGGATTATCTGTATTAGAAAAATCTATATCAACCCCTTTCAGGGAAGAAGCCGGAGTCTATGAAGGAGGATGAGTGGAACCTTCTAGACAGACAAGCCCTCGGAGTTATCAGATTGACATTAACTCATAATGTTATGTTCAATATTATGAAGAAGAAGATCACAACGGGTCTTATGGTAGCACTCTCAAATATGTATGAGAAGTTATCAGCCACGAACAAAGTTCATTTGATGAGGTGGTTATTCAATCTGAGAACGGCGGAAGGCGCGTTAGTAGCACAACACCTCAATGAACTCAATACGATCACAACCCAATTGAGTTTAGTTAAAATTGAGTTTAATAAGGAAGTTCGAGTGTTGATCCTTTTGTCTTCCCTACCAGAAAGCTGGAACACTACCGTCATGTCTGTGAGTAGCTCATTGAGAAGCAACAAGTTAAAGTTCGACGACGTTCGTGATCTGGTTCTCAGTGAGGAGATCCAGCTGAGAGAGTCAGGTGAAGTTACAACCTCTTCAGTATTGCATACAGAGTCAAGAGGTTGAAATTCAACCAGAGGGAACGGATGAGGCAAATCAAACTACAAAGGTAGATCAAAGGACAGGAGGTCCAAGTCAAGGAATCCAAGCAACAGCTCGAAGGCTATCGAGTGTTGGAATTATGGAAAGACCGGGCATTACAAAAATTAGTGCAAGAGTGCACAGAAGGAGAATGAGACGAAGGCAGAGGTGAATGTCACTTCCACCTCAAGAGGAGACGATGAATTGATATGCTCTTTGAAGAGCAAGGAGGAATATTGAGTATTAGATTCAGGAGCGTCGTTCCATGCTATTTCTTAGAAAGAATTCTTTAAGAAGT